AGAAGTTGTTCTGGGAGAGGATGCAATGGAGCCTGCTCCAGGAGAAAGGAAGCTGAGAAAACCTTTGCTTATAATTTTTAGTACTTTGTGTGCCCTTAGGAGTCTGAGTGCTAGGTACTGGGGAGGCATTCATGTTGCCACAGATGGGATTAGCCTGGAATGAAGTTGAACACTTGGGCTGATGTGATGCCAATATGAATTGCCTGGAAGGGAAGGCTGAGTGGAAACCATGTCACCAGGTGGTAATCATCAGTGATGATGGACAACAGCAATGAGAACAGTGCTGGTGGGCAAGTCCTGAGCCTTTGTGCTGAGCATTTGGCATGATATCCCCATGGGGAGCTGTGAGGACTGGTCTTTAGATGATCCGGACACACAGTGAAAACCTGTGATTTGACCCATGGCTCTGCGGCACCCTGCACGCTGTGACTACCTCAGAGATCAGAGGAGGGATGGAGCCGAAGCAAGGAGATGGTCAGGCACAACAACCTAAGAGGACACAAAGCCAGAGCTGGAGCTGTGTCCATGCGGCAGGCAGGCAGGAAGTAGGATCCAGAGATGGTGGCTGAGGGATAGCAGGGATGAGAAAGAGGGAGGGTGAGAGTTGTAGCCAGTGCTCCAGTTATTGGTCAGCCCAGTGGGTCCCCTCCAGCCCATGATGCTTTCTTCATGTGTGGCATGATCTTCCCTGAGGTAAACCAAATAGCTCATTTTCCTTGTGGGATTCTGACTCCTAAAAGCATTGACCTGACCTTGGCTCTGGAAGAACACCTACCAACAACCCTCAAGACACGGTTAGGGGCAAGTTTGTGGTATTGGAGTAAATTTTGTCCCAAGGTAAGCATTTGAAAACCTGTTACCAATATCGTAACTTAAGTAAGTCAATAATTTATATTTGTATTAAAATGTGTGTGTAATCACAAATTTTTGTTGAATTTAAACTGCAGAATTTTTAGTTCACTGTACTCAGTGGATGACATTTTATCCTTCTTGACCAGCAAGGCTTTGACAATCCTCTTTCAGTCCTATTTATTTATTTATTTATTTATTTATTTATTTATTTATTTTTATTTTTTATTTTTTGGTACCGGGGATCGAACTCAGGTCCTTGTGCTTGCGCAGCAGGCAATGAAACCACTGAACTAAATCCCCGGCCCCCTATTTATTTATTTATCATGCATCATACTTATCTATCCCTTGCCCACTGGCATATGTTTTAATTTCCTTAAAACCTATCTTTCCATTTGTATGAATTATCATAGAATGTGTGCAGTTGCATGCACATGGTTTACTGTCTTTCATTGTCCAGTGCTGGAAAGCGCCTCTTCTTTTCTATCCAGCATTGTGTTTTCTGTTTCATCCATGTTGTTTCATTGACGTCAAGATTGTGGTTCTGAATGCTGTCTCATGGCGTGCATGTACCTTTTTTTTTATTAGTCCATGTTTTCAGTACATAATCTTTACATTCCTGTGTGGAGTCGGTATGTGTACATAACGCATCTTAATCCCTTTTTGCATCCCCTTTCCCTTCCCTCCCTCCAATGTCCCTCCATCTTTTGATTTCCTTCCCATTTGGGAAAGACTTATTTCCCTATTTCCTATTACCTGTCTTTTATTTTGCTCTTTATTTATAATTTGAAAGAGAAGCCATGCAATATTTAAGTTTGCGTGTCTTCTTTAACATTATGGTCAAAGTGCAAAAGGTCAGGGTGCAACCATTTTCCTACAAATGGCGCAAGTTTGCCCTACTTTATGGCAGTAGTACTCTACACTTTTTCAGTTATGAGGGGGTCACTCAGACTAATTCATCTCTCTGCTCTCCTGGAAAATGCTGCGATGAATGTCTGCAAGTGTATCCCCTCACCAAGTTGTGTGAGAGGTTCCTTTAGATGGAGATCTGGGAGTTGTCGTTTTGGGATTTAGGGAAAGTGTTCTCTTAGGCCATGAACTGCCAGGCGCCAGCTGAAATGGCTGTGGCACATCTGCCTTTGTTATTATTATTATTATTATTATTATTATTATTATTATTGGTACCAGGGATCGAACTCAGAATCTTGCACTTTCGAGGCAGGCAGCAGCACCACTGAGCTAAATCCCCATCCCTGCCTTTGTTTTTTAATTGACAGAAATTTTGTAAATATCTAGAGGGTATAGGCCAGTTATTCAATTCATGTATATAATGTGCAATGAACAGATTAGCATTTTCTTCTTTTTTTTGGCACCGGGGATCAAACTCAGGACCTTGCACTTGCGAGGCAGGTGGCGGAACCACTGAGCTAAATCCCCAGCCCCAGCATGTCTTAGTTTGTCATTAACCTACTGGGTCTCTTCTGCAGGTAAACTGTGTTTACCTTTTGTGCATTTTCTGCCTTGATACTGGTCTTTTTATATTTTTTTTTAAAAAAATTTGTCTTTCAGAGGGGTTGTATTTTTTGTTTTGGGGAGTGTTTGTTTGTTTGTTTTGAGACAAGGTCTCACTGTGTAGTTCAGGCTGGCCTTGAACTCACTATGTAGCCTTGGCTGGCCTCAAACTCTCAGCCATCCTCCTGCCTCAGCCTTCCATGTGCCACCATGCCAGGCTGATTCTAGTCTTTTTCTTGTTGATTTGCAGGTGTTCTTTGTAGATTCCAGGTATTTGTCTCCTGTCCATTTTGGGTATTGCAGATGTCTTTGTCACCTATGACTTTATCCATAATGTTGACTTAATGGAATTCATTGTTTTAATTATTTTATGGTTTGTGCTTTTATTTTTTAATGTTTTGTTTTGCTTTTAAAGAATTAACTTCCTATTCATCAATCACAAGATCATCCTATATTTCTTTTAGTAACTGTTTTTTATCTTCCAAAGTTAGTTCCATAGTCCATCTTGATTCTCTCTTTGAATGTGGTATCAAGGGCACTCCAGTTGTTTTTATCTCCATAGAAATATGCTTTTCCCAACAGCATCCCCTACACAGTTCCTCCTTTGCCTACTGATTTACTCCGTGACCTTAATTAACTACACATGTCTCTGTGTCGGAGGTCTCCATTCTGAACCTCTGGTCTGTTTCTCCTTGCACTCGGCCCCCACTGCTTTCTTTCCCAGGCTTTATAGACAGACATAAGAACTGAGAAGACAAGTCTCCCACACCTGCTCCTCTCGCTCATCATTTTCAAGGTTAACTTTGTTGTGCGTGGCTCTTTGTTCTGTCATGGACATTTTCTAATAAGTATGTCATCTTTCTCCCAGAAAAAAAATAATCCACTGGATTCTTTGGAGAGGTCTTCAGTGAATTTACAGATTAACTTTAGGAAAAAATTAACATCTTCCTTCTGTTGCGTTTCAGTTGCATCCATTTCTTTGAACCACTTGCAGTGTTTTTTCTTCTTGAGGGGTTTAATCAAGATCTGTGGAAGTCTTTGGGTTAAATTAACTCCTAGATGCCTGATCGATTTTGCTGCTACTTTGAATAGAACCTGAATTTTTTTTTACTTTTTACTTTTTTATTTTTAGGTAATTTTGAACTTACAAAAAAAAAAAGCCTCGCAAGTATAATACAGAAAATTCTAGTATTTCCTTCACCTAACTTCCCTTCTTGGTAGCATCCCATATAATCCTTTTGCAATCACCAGGAAATTAACATTGGTACAATATTTTTATACAATCTGTCTCTTACTTAAATTCTGTTAGGTTTTGTACTAATATTCTTTTTACGTTCAAGTATACCATCCATTTCATTTGGTTATTATTATTATTTTTTTTTTTTGGTACCGGGGATAACTTGGGACCTTTGTGCCTGCAAGGCAGGCAACGGAACCACTGCGCTAAATCCCCGGCCCATTTGTTTATTATTTTAACTTTTCATTATCATTTATTGTTAGTGTAAAAATAACATTTTTTTTTCTTTTTCCTGTTTTCTTATGATGCTGGGGAGTGAACCCAGGACCTCACACATGCTAGGCAAGTGCTCTACCACTAAGCTACATTCCCAATTCTAATTCAAAGAATTTCTTAATTCCCCTTTAACCCAAGATTGTTGAAGAATATGGCAATGTTACATGATTCAATTATATTTATCCTAAAATAAATGTGAATATATATTTCTTTTATGTTCTAATGCAAAGTTCGTTTTATTTTTATTTATTTATTTTTTAATTTTTATTTTGTGGATTTTTCTTTTTTTGAGACAAGATGAACCCACTTGAACCCACTGTGTAGCCTAGGCTGGCCTCAAACTCACAGGGAGCCAGGTGTGGTGGTACATGCCTGTAATCCTAGCACTCAGGAGGCTAAGGCAGGAGGATTGCCATGGATTCAAGGCCAGCCTTAACTACATACCAAGACCCTGTCTCAAAAAAGAAAAATAACTTGTGATCCTGAGCTAAATCCCTGGCCACTGAAGTGTTTATTCCTGACCTTCTAATAGGTACATTATAAACACAATTTCATTTAATCCAAAAATCATCCAGTCAGTGTGTTTTTATCAATTTCCCTTCAGAGAGGAGAAAACTAAAAGTTATGAAGATTTAGGAACAACCCCAAGGTCACATAGCTCTGAAGTGAAGACTCAACCCTGGAATAGCTGAATAGAAACACTGAGATCCTACCATGGAGATTTGAAAATAGTAATAATAATAATAATTCTCAGTATTACTATTTATTGAGTTCTTACATAATGCCAGAAACTTAAGACCTATCATCATATTTAAACCTCAACACATTATTACCATCAGCTCCCTGTATTCATGGGTTCCATGAATTAAAAGTGTAGTCAGCCTTATGATTCTTGTGCCTGTATTAAACACATATGGACTTCTTTCTTGTCATTTTTCTCTAAGCCATACAGTAAAGCCACTATTTACATAGCATCTATATTATATTAGACACTTTAAGTCATCTCAAGATTAGAGTCTATGGGAGGATATGCATAATTTCTATGCAAATACTGCATTATTTTGCATGGAATTTGAGCACCCATGGATTTTGCTATCTGGGGGGCATCCTAGAACTAAACCCTTGTTAATACTAAGGGACAATTGTATAAATGCTTTTTTGTATATGGACTAACAACACTTTGCACAGATAAAGGAGCCTCTTCCTGTCCTCCTACATACTGACTCTTCTTTCTCTCCTCCAGGAAGTGTGGCTGCCATGCTAGGGGTAAACCACACTTTCATGCCTCAGTTTATCCTCATTGGGTTCTCTGCCTTCCCCCACCTTCAGCTGATGTTCTTCCTGCTGTTCCTGCTGATGTACCTGTTCACCCTGCTGGGAAACCTGCTCATCATGACCACCATCTGGAGCGAGCGCAGCCTCCACACACCCATGTACCTCTTCCTGTGTGCCCTCTCCATCTCTGAGATCCTCTACACCTTCGTCATCATCCCACGCATGCTGGCTGACCTGCTCTCCACCCACCACTCCATCACCTTTGTTGCATGTGGCAACCAAATGTTCTTCTCATTCACATTTGGCTTCACCCACTCCTTCCTGCTCACTGTCATGGGCTATGACCGCTATGTGGCCATCTGTCACCCCCTGCGCTACAATGTGCTCATGAGCCCCCATGGCTGTGCCTGCCTGGTGGCCTGGTCCTGGATTGGTGGATCAGTCATGGGGATGGTGGTGACAACAGCAGTTTTCCAGCTCACCTTCTGTGGTCCCAATGAGATCCGCCATTTTTTTTGCCATGTGCCACCCCTGTTAAAGTTGGCCTGTGGAGAGAATGTACCAGTGGTGGCCAAGTGTGTGGGCTTGGTGTGTATCACAGTCCTACTGGGCTGCTGTCTCCTCATCCTCCTCTCCTACGCCTTCATTGTGTCTACCATCTTGAGGATCCCATCAGCTGAGGGCCAGCACAAAGCCTTCTCCACATGTGCGTCCCACCTCACGGTGGTGGTTGTGCACTATGGCTTTGCCTCTGTCATCTACCTCAAGCCCAAGGGCCCTCAGTCTCTGGAAGGAGACACCTTGATGGGCATCACCTACACGGTCCTCACACCCTTCCTCAGCCCCATCATCTTCAGCCTCAGGAACAAGGAGCTGAAGGTAGCTATGAAGAAGACCTTCCTCAGCAAACTTTCTCTCCAGAACTCTTGAAGAAGTTGACTTTCTGACAGGGATTGTGTTGAAGACAAGTTCACTCTTTCATCTTTCTTCCTCACTTTGTCCTGTCTGTCTGTCTGGCTCTGTTTCTCTCTTTGTCTCTGTCTCTCTATCTCTCTGTCTGTCCCCCCTCTCTGTCTCTTTCTCTGCCTATTCCTGCCTTCTTCCTTTCTTCCTTGTTAATAGGCTACTCATCACTCAAACTTTTGAGTATTTATCATTCACTTAGTATGATCTTTTCTGAATCTTTATTGAGATACAATTCACATGTCATATAACTCACTCTTTTTTTTTTTTTTTTTTTTTTTTTGGTACCAGGGGATCGAACTTGGGACCTTGCACTTGCGAGGCAGGCAGCAGAACCACTGAGCTAAATCCCCGGCCCATAACTCACTCTTTTTAAAGTTTTGTGCAATATTAAGCACAGTCAGTTTAGAACATTTTCATCACCTGCAAAAGAAACTCTGAACCTTACAATCATCATTGCCCTCCTCCCCAAACCATGGCAAACACAAATATACTGTCTATTTCTATGGATTTGTGTCTTATGGACATTTTACATAAATGGAACCATATAATATCTGTCCTTTAGGGTCTGGGTTCTTTCAGCATCATGTTATCAAGCTTTATCCATGTTGTAACATGTGTCAATACTTTGTTCCTTTCCATGGCTGCATACTATTCCTTTGATTGGATAGGCCACTCACTAGTGGTTATCCACTCCAAAATTGGTGGAGATTTGAGTTGTCTCTGCCTTTTTGCTATTATGAAATATGCTGCTATAAACAATCACATATGAATGTTTATGTGGATATATGTCTTCATATCTTGATATATATACCTAGGAGTTAAACTGATGGGTCATACAATAACTGCTTAAGCATTTGAGGATCTTTCATAGTTATTCCAGAGTGACTGCTTCATATTATAGGCCCTCCAGCAGGATGTTAGTGTTCTGACTCCTCCACATCCTTGCCAACACTGTTATTTCGATTATAGTGACCCTAGTAGTATTTTATAGTTAATTTAATATAATTTAATTTACCATGCTGGGGATCAAACCCAGGGCCTACACATGCAGGAGAAGTGCTCTACCACTGACTTACACCCCCAGCCTTACTGAGGTTTTGATTTGCATTTCCTTCATGATTTAGGATAGATCTTAAATGTTTAACTCATGAGTTGATTTTTTGAGTTATATAAATGTTTTAATTGCAGATTTTTACTGTATGCAATTAACTGTATTTCACAACTAGCATCTTACAAAAACAGTACCATTAAGTCTGTAAAAAGTACTGAAATTAAACAGAAAATTACAGTACCACAAGAAACCACCAAATATCACAACTGTCAGGGTCTACGGCTTTTTCTTCAAATGTTACCTTATCTTTTATGTGATATTTGGCATCCAAGTTATGTTTTCAAGCTGATTTACATTTCAGAAGTCTCCATAACTGGATATATACTCAGCAAATGGTCACAGAAAGCAGGAGACTATAGAAGAATTTTTAAAGTATTGTGTGGTCTCAAAGTTGGGATTTTAAAATATAACATAAAACATTTTATTACTTGTAAACAAAAATGCAAAATCTGTAGTCATGGGCCAGGGATTTAGCTCAGTAGTTCCGCCGCCTGCCTCACAAGCACAAGGGCCCGAGTTCAATCCCCGGTACCAAAAAAAACCCTAAAAAAACAAACTCTATAGTCAAAAAATATTTTATTGGTAATTGTACATAATAGTGAGTGGGGCTATAAGTACTTTTTTATTTCAGAATATTAATAAATGCATAAATTGGCAGTTGTGTCTGAAAATAGGGAACTATGATTTTCATAACAATTGCTATATTAAATTAATTTAGGATTAGTTATTTCCCAGTTCTGTGCAACAATTCTATTTCTGTATTAACTAGACTCAAACATCTATGACCCTGAATAAGTTTGGGACAAGAAAACAGTGATAAAACTATCATTAAATTAAAACTTTTCCAAAATTACAGCTTTTCAAATATGGCAACTTTCTTTCTTTCTTTCTTTCTTTTTTTTTTTTTGGCCAAATGCTTATAATTATCTGAATTTTAATGTTTTATATAATACAGAAAATAACCCCTGTTCAATAACAATAGCACTAAACCTGAATTATAAAGCTAAATAATCAGTGCTTTGTTTACTAGTCTGCTAATAAACATTACAATACATGAATGTTTTGAAGAATAAGCAAACAAAAAAACCTCAAAAAATGGGTAAAACCAGAAACAAATTCAGAAACAATAATTTAGTAAAACATGTCAAAAACATTGGCAAAGGTTCACACAAATTCTTTCTTTCTTTCTTTTTGGTACTGGGGATTGAACTCAGGACCTTGCACTTGCGAGGCAGGTGGCAGCACCACTGAGCTAAATCCCCTTCCCAACACAAATTCTTTAATAATGACTTTCCTGGGCCAGGGATTTAGCTCGGTGGTTTCACAGCCTGCTGCGCAAGCACAAGGACCCAAGTTCAATCCCCAGTACCAAAAAAAAAAAAAAAAAAGATTTTCCTATTTAACCACACCAAGTACCAGCAGGTATATTTAAGAGGATAACCATTAAGAAAATCCTGTTGCAGCAATAGTGATTAAGTTGATCTCTGACTTGTATACATATAACTATGTGTTCACAATTCTCACATAATACATATTTAGGCAGCTTGCGGTATGTTATAAAAAATTTAAATTCATTACATACCAATAGTAGAGAATTATGTGTTAGAATTCACTAAACTAAAAGTGAAAATAGACTTACCAATAACACTGCATATGAATAATTCAACCACATTTTCATGACACCTAATTCCCAAAATGTTAAGTCTGGAAAGCTTTTGTAGGCAGAGACTGCAATAAAATCCAACAAATTCCGACAATTTTTAATTTTATGCAGAACTCAAATTAGGGATTGCACACAAATATGCTTGTCGTGAAAATGTGGTACTTTTCGGCATAATCTGTGTGTTTGCATGGTAGGACAGAAGTGATTAAGAAACTGAGGAAAGCCCGGGGATTTAGCTCAGTGGTTCCACCGCCTGCCTCACAGGCGCAAGGTCCCAAGTTCGATCCCCAGTACAAAAAAAGAAAACAAAGAAAGAAAGAAAGAAAGAAAGAAAGAAAGAAAGAAAGAAAGAAAGAAAGAAAGAAAGAAAGAAAGAAAGAAAGAAGAAAGAAAGAAAGAAAGAAAGAAAGAAGAAAGAAAGAAAGAAAGAAAGAAAGAAAGAAAGAAAGAAAGAAAGAAAGAAAGAAAGAAAGAAAGAAAGAAACTGAGGAAAATAAAGTTTCATGAGATTCTCCATTCAGTGATGAGGCTTCTTCTCCGGGTGAAGATGACCTGGACGCTCCCCTCGCTGTGTTATCAGAGCTGGAGCTGCTCTGACTGTGTTGGTCTGGGGAAGCTGTGCCAGATGCAGGTGGTGACTTTGTTTTTCCTTAAAGTCTGTAATAATGACTGTTAGATCTCCAACGGAAACTTCAAATGCTGAGCACTACTCCGATCCACATTTTTCAGTCTTGGCCTGGTTTTCTTATGACTGTTCTTTTTGCTGGTTGTTTCCTTTTCACTGTTTTCTTTTTCTACTTTATCTTTTTTCTCTTTCTTTGACTGTGTTGGGAGCACAAACTGCTGAGTAACCTGCTGTGCAACCAGCTGGGAGACAGGTCGAGGTTTCCGGGTGGAGATGCCCTGCCACACATCGCACCTCAAGCACTTGAAGGCCTCGGCGATGTTCCAGAAGGTGCAGGCGCTGCAGTCCCAGTAGCCCGCATCCGAGGATGGCTTTGGCTGCCGCTTCGGCCTGCAGAACACAGGGCGGGGTCACCACAGGCTGCGCCCGGGCCCGCAGCCGTCCCACGCATCAGTTATTTTACTTTACAAGGCAGATAGGATTATTAGTTCCATTTTAAAGATGAGGAAACTGAGTTACAAAGAGATAAAGTTGGCCAAAATCTCTCCCTTGAAGCTGCAAAGCTAGAATGGGACCTGCTCTTTGAGTTGAGCTGGAGATCAGAAGCACACATTTCTCAGGGACTATGAGGAGGGAAAGCAAAGCTAGTCTGCTCCAGAAAGAGGCGATTTGGACAAGAGACAAACCTGAGCTAGCACCAACAAAATCAATCCAGAAGATGGGGCTGGAAAGAAACATCCAGTGTGAGAGAACTGGGGAGACACTTTGTGAGCTCACACGAACTGGCGGTTGTGTTTCTGTGGTTTGTTTGATGTTTTGCTGTTACTGTTTTCAGTACTGGAAATTGAATCCAGGGCTCCATGCATGCTAGGGAAGTGATCTACCACTGAGGTGCATCCCCAGCCTTTTCTATAGTTTTTATTTTTGAGGCAGGGTTTTGATAAGTTCCTAGGCTGGATTTCAACTCATGATCCTCCTGCGTCAGTTCCCCGCCCCAATATCAGGGATCACAGGCAAGCAACACCATGCCAGGCTTCTGTGTGTGTGTGTAAAAGGTGCATTAATATGGAGAAGAGAATCATTTTAAAATATAAGTTGAGGGCTGGGGATTTAGCTCAGTGGTGCCTCTGCCTGCCTCACAAGCACAAAGTCCTGTGTTTGATCCTCTGTACCAAAAAAAAAAAATGTTAAATACCCATAATCCAAAATCCCTCATAGCAGAAATATTCATATTTCAGAGGGTTTTTTTTCAGGTCTTGGAATATGTACACTTACCTAATGAGATGTCTTGAGGAACAGGAGCCAAGTCTAAACACGATATTCATTTATGCTTTATATGTACCTTACAGTTTATAAACATGGAAAGATTCCATGCAATTTTTTTTTTTTTTGGTACCAGGGCTCAAACTCAGGACCTTGCGCTTGCAAGGCAGGTATGGTATCACTGAGCTAAATCCCCAGCCCTTCATACAATATTTTTTTTTTTTTTGGTACCAGGGATCAAACTCGGGTCCTTCCACTTGTGAGGCAGGCAGTAGAACCACTGAGCTAAATACCCAACCCATTCGTGCAATATTTTTAATGCACCTGTGTTTTGGCTGCAGCCTGTTACGTGAAGTCACGTGGAATTTTCCACTTGTGGCATGATGCTGGTGCTCAGAAAGTTTTGGATTTTAAGGATGCTCAACCTGTGTTGAATTGTTTAACCTAAAAAAATAAAATCCCTGACCCCTGGGGTTGGGTTTGAAGCTCAGTGGTAGAGCACTTGACTAGCATGCGTGAGGCCATAGGTTCAATGTCTAGGGCTGAAAAACAAATTCCTGGCCCCTTTTAAAGC